GTCCCGAAAAAAGGTAAACCATAGGTTTCCATGTCTAACGTTTGACCGTCCGTCATATTTAAAAAAAATTAAAAAGATAAGTCACGCATAAAGTATTATTCATGTTTTATCATCTAACAACAATAAAAATACTAATTATAAAAAAAAGTTATATAAGACGAACAGTTAAACATTGGACATGAAAACCCGAGATTTGTCTTTTTTTAGGACGGAGGGAGTACATATTGCAAGGTTGTAATTAGTTCAAGGTCATCGAAAGGTATTACGACTTTTTCTAGCATGTGGAGTTGTGTTTTGATTCGACCATAGGTGATTAATTTTCTAGTTGTCTTATATAGTACTTCGTCCAATTTTTAATATTGGACACAAATATTTTAAGTAGGTGAAGCTAAATAGAGAAAATTATAATTGATTGGAAAAATAATGTAGGCGAAAGTTGTTATATTTTAAGATAAATTTTAAATACTAGAAAATACTTACTACTATATTTTAGAACGGAAAGAGTACCGTAAATGTCACTTATTTTTGATTGCATTGAAGTAGCTAGGTGTACTACTTTTCTTCAAGATATTGAAAGCTTTATTGGATTCGTATAATTACATTAAAATAAAAAAATTGTACTAAGAACACTTTCGATCTCGGTATAAACTACTCTCTCCGTTTCAGGTTATAATACGTTTTGACTTTTGTAAAAGTCAAATTGCTTTAAGTTTGACCAAGTTTTTAGAAAAAAATAGTAACATTTTAACTCAAGACAAATTTATTTTGAAAATATATTCAATTATTGATTTGATGAAACTAATTTAGTATTATAAATATTACTATATTTGTCTATAAACTTAGTCAAACTTAAAACAGTTTGTCTTTGACCAAAGTGAAACGTCTTATAACCTGAAACTGAAACGGAGGGAGTAGCTAATACTACATGTTTATTGACGCAAACGACTACTTTATAGGATCCTTTGGAACTTAAGATGCTACAAATTAATTTTTTTTGCAGGAATTAGTTTATTATCTCTAAAATTTCCACAAAATTTCTCCGTACATAGAATGCTTATATTTTGAAACAATAGAGTACGTACTTAATTATTTATACATTACCAACGCAATACATCATATATATCACACTAATATTTTTAGACTTCTTAAAATATAATGACAATTCCTCTTGTATATGCATAGCGCCTGCCATCTGTCAACACAATATCTTTTTACCAATATTATAGAGTTGCGTACGTGTGCTTCGCCCACATCTTTTTGCACATGCTACACCTATGCATAGATTATGATTCCAAGAGAAAATAATTCTTTTTGTATGATAGTAATCAATCCTCTATTAAGAAAATCAAGCAAAAGCACTGGAATTAACAATGCATCACTGCACGGTCGTTTAAACTAATCAAGTGCCAATTAAAGCTCGCATAGACAGGAACAATCTCCAGTTGTATGTGGTAAGAGACCATAGGCCATGTGGCTCTTGTCAAGCCACCACTAAGCAAGGACTTTGCCATCAATTTGGGCCAGATATCTCCTTGCTGATGCTTCGCCTACATATTTTATCTCTGAGATTGGTACGGCCAATTGACACCTGTAGTCTCAAGCTGCTCGTGAGATTTTTGAACACTGTTGTCGGATTTGATCCGATCTAGTTTGTTTTATGTTTGTGTTCTTGCTCTCTATCTCTTCTTCTTTGGGAATAAAGGGAAGAATCAAACGATGCACTTTACAGCAGATAGATCACCTTGAATGGGAAGGAAATCCATAAATTAATTTACTATATATGCTAGCTTTAGAGATATCACATTGTTAGAGTTATACTGATATCTTTAGAGCAAATGAGTTGTAATGTTCACATTTCCGAAGTTGATATGATAGTTAATGGATTTGGTGGAGAATCATACATATGCTCCAGGTCCTAATTCTTGGTGGCTTTGATCTCTGTTCTCCTTAAACCATATTTACACAATAACCAGAATCAGTTTGTAGAATGTTTGATTATTATATTGGAGAAATAATCCAGCCATACTGTGAATGTTTTCTTAGTTATTCTGTTGACGGTTATAGGCCTGTTTGATAGGGCTCTGACTACAGGAGTGAAGTCTACAGTAGAAATGTTTCAAATCTCACTCCACCACTCTAGTTTTTAATTACTTTAATATGCTCCTCTCTCTTTTTGAATGGAGTGGAAACTGTTTAGTGGGCTCCAGCTTCAAAAAAAAGTGAAGTTGGAGCTGAAGCCTTGTCAAACTGAAGCTAAATTTTGAGTTTTAGTAACTTATTAGTGATGTTAGATATCTGATCTGTTGTGAGATTTAAAGATAATTAATATGACAAGCAACTGAAATTTTTTAATTAAAAAAAGGAGAAATGATTAATGACACAAAGAACATATAGGTGGATGTCACAACAAAGACAAAGCCAGGTAACCCTGATCAATTTACCATATACTTAAATGCGGATGTCATCTCTCACTTTCTTTTTTTTAACTTCATTCCTTTTCCTTCTTTTGGAGATGAACGACTTTTTAGGCTTAGCTTATTCTAAACATCCCTACAGCATCATCTACCACACACGTGTATATCGGTGTACTGTATCTGCATTACATTGACGAGATGTAGACTTGTAAAGCTTTGATGATAGCTAGGGTTGACGCCGCCCGATCAAGTCTGCCTGACAATGGAGTTCAGTTTCAGTTCAATGTTCGAGCGATCTCGAGTTAGGCCTGCATCTGGCCTCTGTGCCATGGCCAGGTGTATGGTCAAACAACAGTAGTATCGAACGCCTTTCTTGATCTCTTTTTTTTTCTTCTTTGCGTCTGATGCTTTCGGAGGATTGCGACATGCACATACACGCATCTGTACGAGCAATTGCATATTAAAATGATCAATTCCGTGTTTTGCTGGACACCAGCGGCCTAACAATTCAGTAACGCAAGTAACAACCGCTAGCTGCGTTCTTCAGTCTAAAGCCTTCTGGGGAGAAACGTTTATTTAGTCCCAGTCTTTTTGTGGCCATTTTCTCCTGTCTGGATCACTTTTTGGCTGCATGGTTATCTAATTATCTCTCTGCGGTGCTGATATAGTGATCTTGCACATGCAGCAGCGCACATATATGGATCATGGATGGATGAGATTTGATTCAGATGGCATGCTATCTTCTGCAGATGAAAACTTTGAATAGGGAACCTAGTGTTGTACATGGAACCTGAGCTGCATACAAGTAAGAAGCTATTTACCATTTGATGGCTACTTTGTGTTTCTTAAATAAACTAAGTAGGATAGACATGCCCAGAGATTAAACATGCATCATGATTCAGTATGTTCTGTTCTGGATGGCCTGGTGCCTTCTCAGAGAAAAACTGGCTCAGAATTCAGAGAAGGGTTCAGTTTTTCATTGAAAGTCTGAAAGAAGAAAACTGGAATGGGATCTTCATCCATCAAAGGGACATCCCTCGTTTCTTGTATACCATCTAAATAATCATAATGTTTTTTTAAAAAATTGATAACATAGATTAATATGAAATATATTACTCCACAAACATGTAAGGTTAAATGCAACTTCTACAAGTTAAAAAAATAATTTAAACTGAAAATAGTTAATGCGTATTTGCAGTTATTTTTGTTACAATTTGTAAAAGTTGAATTTGAATTTGCATATTTATGGAGTGACATATTTTATATTAATATATCTTGTTAATTTTTTTAAAAAAAGTTATGACTATTTAGATGATATGTAAGAAACGAGGGGATATTCCATCAAGGGATGAAAACACTTTCCCACACAAACTTGCTACAAGATAAGTTATTTCCTTTTTTAACGCACCGGAAATAATATCAATTTCATTGAATATAACATAAGCAAAATTACAAGTATACAAGCACATAAATATAAGGAATACTGTACACTACAGGATGAGTTATGCTAATTAAGCATATCACTCTTGATTAGGAGAAGTTTCATTAGCAGAACTGTCAGAGCTTAGTTTGCTCTGAATTCTGTACGCGGTTAGGTCAACTTTAATTCAGTCTACTGCTCATCATAGCTACCCATTGACCCCAAATGGTTGTTTACTTGCAATTAACACAAGAATTCATGGCTTTAACCGCTTCCAACGTTGGTGGAAAGATTGTCCACTCCACTTGCAAGTTGAAAATTTGCAAACCTTAGCACGATATATGTACTGGTACTTTTTTGCCTTTTACACTTGAAACTTGGCGATGTAGCCTATGCTATATCAGGCTACCGACCTGTAAAAAAAAAGTAATTTATTAAGCAAACACACTGTTAGCTACACTCAATTAATTTACTACTGGTAGTCAAGAGCACCACCATCTCTTAGATACTGTCGACGCTTAATTAGATTGTACTTTATACCACGTACACGCGTAAAAGTCATCCCGATCGATGGATTGATAAACATCATGGGATGATTGATTAGGGATTCGAAAGAATACAATAAACAAAAGAAGCAAAAGATGGTTGCAAGGCTTAGCTCTTGCATTGCATCACCACAACAACATTCTAGTAGGATATGGGAAACTATTATAATCTCTCGAGGGGATGTTCCCTCGTTTGATCAAAAACCATCTAAATGGTTATGAAAAATTCTGGAAAAATTTGACAACATTCATACAACACATATATACAACTTCATAAAATCTTAAGTCCAAACTCAACTCACACGTCGAGATATAAAAAAGACAAATTCAGCGTATGAATAGTAGTGTACTGTTTATATCTAATTTTGTCTTTTTTTTTCTCGATGTGTAGATCGAATTTGAACATGAATTTTGGTGGACTAGTAGGTATCATTATACTCTACATTGTCAATTTTTTTCAGATTTTTTCACAACTATTTGCATCGAATTTGGAAGAAAAAGGTATATGAGGGGATATCCCCTCGAGGGATTAGAATCCACTCCCATGGATATGAGCTTTTTTCTCAGTAGCGAAACAATATAATATTACGATCGATCGAGCTAGCGAGAGAGAAGCTTAGCACAAGTGGGAGTGGAATTGTTACTCGCTACTAGGCGAAAACGACGTGACGCCGATCGCCTCAGCTCCGGCAACTTGCCGATCTCGTATAAATGGCGAGCATGGCCGGAGATTCTAGCTGCCACACAAGCCGGGAACCAAACCCAAAGAGCAGTGTACACATATCACCTCACTGCTGCTGCACACATATATAGCCAGAGTCATATACAATTATTCTGCAGCTAATCACACTTAGCACAGTTAAGTAATCATCATTTATGGACGAGATCAGAAGCCTGATGCTGCAGCAAGGGTGGAGGAAGGGCCCGTGGACTGCGCTGGAGGACAGGCTCCTGACCGAGTACGTGCAGCAGCACGGCGAAGGCAGCTGGAACTCCGTGGCCAAGCTCACAGGTATCGTCGATCGAGCTGATCGATCATGTTCAGAATGTTTCAGCTCTGAACTTTTTGTTCAGAATCAAGATCAAAATTCAGTGATGTGCAGGGCTGAGGCGCAGCGGGAAGAGCTGCCGGCTGCGGTGGGTGAACTATCTCAGGCCGGACCTGAAGCGGGGGAAGATCACCCCCGACGAGGAGACCGTCATCCTCCAGCTGCACGCCATGCTCGGCAACAGGTATGGAGCTGTGTGGTGCATGAGCTTGAGCCATTGCACACTGTAGCCTGCACTGTTCTACTGTGCTGGGTGCGTTGGTGCCTAATTAACCGTGGCGGTGGCGGTGCGTACGCGTGCAGATGGTCGGCGATCGCGCGGTGCCTGCCGGGGAGGACGGACAACGAGATCAAGAACTACTGGAGGACGCACTTCAAGAAGGCGAGGCCGTCGCGGCGTGCGCGGGCGCAGCTGCTGCACCAGTACCAGCTCCAGCAGCAGCAGCAGCATCGCCAGTATCTCCATAGCCTGAACCTTCTGCAGCAGCAGCAGCAGCAGCTTCAGCAACAGCAACAGCAACAGCAACAGCAGATGATGTTGCTGCAGGAGCAGGAGCAGCAGAGCCCGCAGGAGGAGGCAGCTGACGATTCCATGGTGATGATGATGATGAACGATCTCCAGAGCAAGGAGCGTTGCTGCACGGCGGTCTCGGTGGTGCCCGACGACTGCGTGCTCCCCGCCGATGATGATGCGATCTGGGACAGCCTCTGGAGGCTCGTCGACGGCGATGGCAGCTGCGGCGAAGGCTCGAGCGGGGGCGAGTACTGGGCTACTAGCTAAGCAGCTAGTAGAAGTGAAGCAGTGTAGAGAGTGTGGAAGTCTGGAAGAAGAGAGGTGTAGTGCAGGTTTCAGTTGCTGCAAGGATCGATCGATATTAGTGGCGGTACTTGCTAGTGTCAGGATCGTGCTTAGCTTAATTTTCCGACGCGATTAGCTCGCCATGGATCGTGTTTTGCATTTTCACCATGACCATGCATGCGAGTCCGGACTCTGTTCCCTGTACTCTGCTCCCTGTCACAAAGTTTGCAACATCATCATGTAACTTTTGTATCCGATATACACTTCTGTTACTGAATTTACCTGTCAGATACATTCACTTCACACTACTTCAGTTCATGTTTTTAGTTTCAAGGGGAAAAATATCAAGAGCATCCAGCAGCAGCTCTCAGTTCTACGATTCTGACAAGACTGAAGATTTTGATTTCTAGCTTTGGGAAGGGATGAATCAGGTGATAAACATATGGCTGAAATGAGACTATCAGAAAACAAACACACATAGTTAACCAATCGAAAGTGTGAATGCAGCCAAGAGCTTACAAGCATCCTGGAACAACCCAAGGGAGAATTTTATGTACAAAATGAGAATTAATATAAAATGATGATGAGAAACAAATGAAATGTCAGCATTCCTTTCACCTGTTTCAGCTATGCTGTTTATCATTCCCTTTCAAAGTTTACCCATGTACACCAAACTAGAGTATATACCCAAACATTTATAATGAATCTAATCCCATGCCCACTATAAATAATGGAAAAAGATCTGCAGAAAACAAACTAAAGAATTGGATATCTTCATTTCCCTAACACTTGGCTGGTTATTGCTAGAACTACATTATGATCAAGCAATATGGCGGGAGGTTGGGAGGTAGCTAGAGAAGGACTTTGAAGTAGCAACAGTTGAAGAACGGTTCAGCATTTCGACAACAGAGGGCAGGATAGTCTGCGAGCGCTGTAGCATATCAACCATGGATGGTGTCTGGTAAGTATTAATAAGGGTTGTGAGCTCTGTCGAGTCGCCACGTGCAGTTGCTCTTTGCCATGAGTGTGAGCTCAGGCCTGACAGCATGTAAGCCCTGCCTGATTCCTCGTACCTCTGCCGGCTCTCCACCCTATCCTGCATCTCCCTTAGCTCTTTGATTAATGCCAAGAACTGACTGTCTGAAGAGTGTGCTGCATGTAACTCCAGTATTCTCCTACGGCTTTCAAGGATTGACACGGCCTGAGAGAAAGAGCCATCCTCAGCCGCAGATCGAGCAGCAGACATGTCCTCTGTGGCTTGAACACGGTGCCATTCACGCTCAACCTCAGGTGACATTGTACAGTCAACACAATATGCAGGACGCTGAATAATCACTTCTTCACCGTCTAGCTGGACATTTTCCATAGTTATTGCATCTAGGTATGTGCATTTTGGTTTGATCAGCACAGTCTGTCCATGTGCGGCTGGGACATGTAGAGTGACCAGAAATCCCCTCTCTTCATCTGCATAGAGGTCACCAATATCAACCAATCCACTGCGTTCATTTCCAGCTACTTGACTTGCATAGCTGCCTGACTTGATGGAGGTAAGAGACACGCCTTCATCTATACACTCGATGCACAGCCGCATATCCTTAACTACAACGCTAAGGAGGCCACCCATACATTGAGCAAATGCATCTTGGATTGAGCCTTCAGCATCAATAAATGAAAATGTGCCATTAGATGTCTCAGCAATAGCATGCATGGCAGCCGAATCATGGTCTGTACCAAAACCAAAGGTGTGGATTTGCACATGATGACTTGTCCCAGGAAGGATTGAAGGGGGAACAAGTATACTGTAGTTTATATCAGCCTCACCAGATAGAAATGAATGGGTGTCTTGACCATCAGAAAGAAGAATTATGCTGCTAACAGGATTCTTCCGCCGACGATCCTTGACCACTTTAGCACCTTTCTTTAGCGCATCAGCAATGTTTGTGCCACCACTTGCGACAAGGGAACTAATGGCTTGCAAGGCTTGCTGCCGACCAGTTAAGGTCATTCGGCGAAGTGGAAAGAGCCTCTGTGCTGTAGATGAAAAGGCTACAACAGACAGGCGGTCATTGGGTCCAAGTGTTTGGATGACAAAACTCATGGCACGCTTAAGAAGTGAAAGTTTTATCCCCGACATGCTGCCACTGACATCAAGCACAGTCACAAGGTCAAGAGGTGCACGGGAGCTCACCGAGTCCAAGGACTTTGGAGCCTTCAGATGTATTAAGATAGCAAAGACCTTCCGTCTTTCTGATTTTTGTATGGCTGGAAATTCTGAATATGTCTTGATCTCAACTGAATTAGTAACTGCATTATGATCATCAACTGTTTCAGACTGAGGATCAATGTTCTCATCATCATTGAAAATGCTTGCCTCTGGAGTACGGAAGACAGCAAGTTGCTGTTGAAGGTTTCCACTATATCCGTGGGAAAGCCTGCGGACAACAGACATCTGCCCCTCATCCTGGGGCCAATTTACAGTGCTTACTCTAGCTCGTCCATAAGCAGTGTCTCCAGGTTGAGTTCCTTGGAAGGGAAGTTCTTTCCACTCAGCACGACATACCGGGCAGACGTAATTGCCATGGTTGACATTTGAGGAGATGCAATGAAAATGGAATTCGTGGGAGCATTCAGCTGTGAACAAGGCCTGTCCTCCTGTCCGTATGCCACCAAGGCAAATGGCACATACCTTCTGAAATGAAGAGAGTAAACAACAAAAAAAAAGTTAGCATTGCTACCATCAGAGCTTTCATGGTAACATAAACTTCTGCCATTATCAACTATAAATTGTGCCTGAATATACATAAAGACTATCCTATTTATGTGTCATACGAAAGAAACATAAAGGAATATGTGTGTCATATGACTGTACTATTTACGAATGTAAAATCTCTCAGGAGCACACAAGTAAAGGTGAAGAGTAGATACTTGATACAGCTTAATGAGAAAAGATAAGTGGCTTTGAACCACTATCCAAGGAAAATAAAATTTAACATGTCAAAAGGAGGGAGCAAATGACTAAAAGGATGGCGATAAACTTGTCATGGACAAAGCTTAAGAACAAGAATTTACACATTTTGACAATAGCGCAGGGATGGCTTACAATCCAACCTTCCTATAACAAGTGTAGTATGATCAATTTGTTTTCATGATTGATGAACCATTTTGGATGGAATGATTTGGAATTTGGATAGACACAGGTAGTTTCCGAATTGGAAAAATATGCACACACTGAAATGTGTATGCATGTGCAGCTTGGGAGTAATAAAATACTGAATGGTCAGTTGCAGCTGCAGCATAGATGACACAAGACCTGATTATAATATAACCCCCCCCCCCCGGGGGGGGGGTGATCTTTCAAAAAAAAAATGAAGGCTATTTCATCATGTGTATCGTTGTTCTAAAAACATGTGCACCGTCATCAAAAAGTAAATATTCTTCATTAGTCAATGTGACAAATCAAGTTGTATTTTCAACAACTACTGGGACCAAGTCAGATAAGATGATCCACCAACCAATCAAAATGCATGTTCTGGTCTGCAATGGGCTGAAGCAACACTTTCTCTTTGTTCGGGCACTGGTCTGAAGCCATTTATGCCAAAGATCGTTGTGCCAATAAATTCAAGTAAAACTTCAAAACAATGAAGAATATACATACAGCATTTGGAACAGTATTAACATGAACGATTTGAAAGAGGTGGCCATATTTACATATATTGCAAATTTACAGGTTTATCAAAAAAATGTTCTCAAAGAGAATTTACGCAACTACATGATTTTTAGACAAATCGGATAAAATCGATGCCCATATGCAAGTTTCAAATGGAAACTAAACATATCTAGAAAGGAGTGGAGAATAAAGAGATATTTTACCCTTTCAGGTAAGAGATGACACCCAGAAAAAGAATGTTCTCTCTCGCTATTGTGATCCACAATAGTTTTAGGACAAAAAATGAACTTGTCAAACCCCTACGAAGATATTTTACCAACATGGAACCGAAATTCGCGATGTTTTATTTGACAACAAAAAAGAACCATCTAATATGCATTAATTAAAGCCGACACTTTTTCTCACCTCTGCACACCATAAATCAAGAGCAATCGCAATCTAACATTACCAGAAGAGAGAATCTATTCTATACCACTGAGTTTGTTCGAGTTCAACGATTTGTCATCGATATTGTCTCCTTCTATAATATACCAGTGACTTTATCAATTGTTCTATAATACGCCATTGGGCTGGACACTATTTTCAAAAATACCCGAAATACCCTTATGTACATACAAGGTTACCAATTAATTTATCCTATTAGAAGTTTCAAAAAAAAATTTAAAAAATTATATGGCCTACTTACACAACATGGAAGTTTGTATAGAAGTTTCAAGTTTTTTACATTTATATTTTTTGTAAAAAAATATATAACTCATTTGTTATATGCTATATAAAATACATTTTATTGATGTTTTTAATATAAATCATCTTTCATACTCTACATAAGATATTTTTGTGCTATTATCTCTCGTGTAAACAAATTTTCTCTCATATACCACATAAAAATATTATTTTCTAAAATCTAAATATACCAGAAAAAACTTGAAACATGTATAGAAACTTCCATGTTGTGTAACGAGGCCACTAAATTTTTTTTATTTTTTTGAAACTTCTAATGAGATAAATCAATTGTTAATCTTGTATGTCTCTAAGGGTATTTTGGGTATTTTTGAAAAGAATGCCCAGCCCAATGGCGTATTATAGAACAATTAATAAAGTCGTCGGTATATTATAGAAGGAGACAATGTCGATGGCAAATCGTTGAAGTCGATCAAACTCAAGTGGTTTAGAATATATTCTCTCCCAGTGAGAAAGATAAACCTGACCTTCTTGCCCCAGCTCCCAGAGCTCGAAAGCCGCCGCACGGACACCGATGGCGACTTCAACTTCTCCTCCGGCACAGCACGCGCCGCCGCCGCCGCAGGCGGCGGAGGCGCCTCGTCTTCCGCCGGTGCATCCTCCACGGCCCTCTGCCGCGCCGGGAAGCGAATGCAGAGCCTGGTGGCGAGCGCGTGCTTGGCGCGATCCCACGCCGGCGCCATTGCTCACGATCCCTCAAAGGCGACTCCTTTTCGCACACCCAATCCTCGCTGCTGCTGTTGCTGCTCGACGGAGAAATCAAACTGGATCAGGATGGCAGGATTTGGGGGTGAATCGGCCTCCCCATCGCGGCGCAAGTTTCGCGGCGACCACGGACGCGTGCAGCGTGGTGCGTTGCCTTGGGTTTTCGTTGGTGGCGCTGCGAGTGCGAGGAAGAGCAAAAAGAATGGAGGATTATAACAAGCAGAAGATGAACGCGAACGACGGAGGGAATGAAGGGGAGGCAGAAATTTATGGGTGTTTAGACTTCCAATTATGCCCTTGTTTGACTGCAGCAGTAGTAGTAATATCGCTTTAATTTCTGTTTTTTTGTGTGTACCCCTAAATTGTTTGGGAGTTGACATTGGAGCATGACGGTATGAGCTGTTCACTTGTACAGGATAGATACATGCATCTTGACAGCCAAACCCGTCAGCATCTATATATTGGTGATGTGAATGACGTTCTGGTTTTGTATTGTTCGTATTCGGGGTAAAATAGTAAAGTAAACACTATTACACATTCTTTTAGTAAGGCAGAGAGACTTTTAAGCCTAGGAAACGGGATCACAAGGAGAAAGATGACGGTTGACCGGTTAAATATGTCTTCGCTTTCGTTCGTAGGAAACAGTTGTTGTTAAACTTGTTATCCGTGTCGGTACGACACAGCCGTGCAGCGCTACCAAGTAAGTAGTACCAAGCAATTAAATTCCCCGTAGACCCGTTGCTTGGATAGTTGGATGCGCTCACGTCTCATCTTGGGTCGAAACTTCAACACAACGGTTTCGCCGCCGTACGTACGCCCGACCGCCCCACCCGCGGGCCACAAGCAGGTTCACAGTTCCGACGAAAAACATCGAATTCCACAAAAATTCGATGTTTCGAAACAGGTCAGAATTAAGTTTGGATTAAAATTTCAAAGGTTAAACAATAGATTTGGTTGAAATTCAATCGAAATTTATCAAAAACCGATCGAGATTTATCGAAAACCGTGATACCGATGTGGCTCGAAATTCAGTGGTGAACCGGTAATGTTAAACTCACGACGGTACGTACGTACGTGCCCATGTCCATGTCGTCGTCGCCTCCGATACGTCGCGGTCGCGCTCACGGTACTGCGCGCCGACGCGGTTGTCGCAACGGCGTCCCCGCCCATAGCCGCACCGAGACTCCGAGAAGCCGCGGCTACGCCTACGCACGCGCACGCACCGATTCCACCGATTTCGTTGGCGTCACGGCGTACGCCCACCCGCGCGCGCGGCGCGTCGGCAACTCGGCGTGGTGGCGTGCTGCCGTGCGTTGCCATGGCATGCACGGAGAGATGTGTAATACTTGCGGCTGCGTGGGATTTGGTCCAAGCGGCGCCGTCGTTTCACGCACTTTACACATACGGCTCCTCCGCTACGTCCGTCACCGCCGCTTTGCCCGTCACGTCGATGATATGCGGAGCGCTAGCGTACTCGCGCGTGCACGTGGTCGCGACGGTGAGCGTGAGAGTTGATAGGGACAACGGGTGCGCGCGACTGCGTGCGTCTACTGCATGCATCCATGTCGCTGTTTTACGTATCAGTACAGGTTTTCGTTTGATTTGTTGATGGAGAAATACACCAAGTTATAATGGTCGTCGTTGATTATCGTATAGATGATCCTGAGTTCAAACCACGTGGCTATGGAGAAAACGTGATCCGTACTCGCTGATCTAGATGTTTATTATACCATGATCTGGTCAAGGTTTGGGTGCTACCGAATAAAACAGGGTGTGTGCAGAAGCAGAGCTGTGGTCTGTGGATGGCCGAAAAGGCGTCGAGTTGGACTTGACATGAGCACACACAGGCACTGCACGTCTGCGCCGCCCAGTTGAAAGTTCAGCTACAGCATTTGCAGATTCGAATCAACGTTCAACAGGGTCGTTCGAGAACCAGGAGAGACGTGTGCGGTGTGTGTGTCACAGCAACATGGTACCCGTTCGACACGAATTTTCAATGCACCAGCTGCTGAATAGATACAGTGTCACCAGCTGCTGAACATATACAGTTCTACTGCTACTAGTAGTACTCCAGTAAACTGTACCAGTAGTACGAACTGTATTTATTCAGTGACCGATAACTGTTTTGCGCCCGTAATTTAACGCATTGAAATCAATCAACATGGACATGATTATGACTGAAAAATGCAAGTCAAATCTTATTTCAGAAACTGCAAGTCAAATGGTGACAGATACATGTCGCATGGTTGCATGGGCACAAAGTTATGCCTAACATTGCTAGAGATTTCTGGCGCGTACTGTTCTCCAGGATCTGGACGTGGAAGTGCGACCAGTGCTTAAGTAGGAATTAGCACTCTCTTTGAAATCCAACAATTAGCAAACAGCTCATAAATCTTTCGCATCCAGCTATGCAGCAGCTAATACATAAATAGGCCAATTGGTTAGTAACAGAACAGGATCCTATGCATGAAAAAAAATATATGATGAAATATGCATGAAAAAAAATACGGTGAAAATTACAACACATATAGTGGAAACCTGAAAACTATCGTTGGATAAAAAAATAGACGTTTGAGATTCATTCACGTCATCACGAGGAAAAATTTTACTAGTAAATTTACTCATGAATAAAAAATCTGCACCATATATTTTTCCCTCTATGCATTAGAGTAGAAAATGTATAGAAACTACAGAATGGTGCATTAAGCTACGTTTTGTGCCCATCGCCCTGCATCCAATGGTTGAAAAATATATAATGCAAGCAACATATATAATGAAAATCTGAAAACTACCATTGAATAAAAAATGAATGTTTGAGTTTCGTGCATGTCACCATGAGTAAATCTATAAGTAAAATTTTTACCCGTGATGACATGGACGAATCGTTCATTTCTTTTTATCTAACCGTAGTTTCTAGATTTTCACTACATATGTAATTCCCACCGAATATTTAACTGAATTGAAAGTAACTCCGAAGCGCACCAGAACGGTAAAAATCACAAATGGAAAAAGATGTTCAGCCGACAGAAGGACTGAAGAATTGTATACACTCCAGATGCTACTATGTGGCCATTTCAACCGAGTTTAAAGAAGGACCAGCTTAGCCAGTTAGCCTGGTTCAAACATGGCGGCTCCAGCAGCAGAAAGAACAGGATGCCTCGCTGAGAAACTCGCCCAAAACCACATGTTTCCCGGCGCGCCCGCGGTTGGTGGGGATGAGTGGATGTTTCAGTGTGTTTTGAACGATCGTGGTGTGGATTAAAATTGTTCATACTTCGTTCTCTTTCTCGGCCACCCAGTCTGGTTGTTGGTTAATTGGGGAGTCAACCATGAAGTTTGGTGGCGTGGGAGTTGGTCTCGTTCATCCGGAGAATGTTCATGTTCAGTCGCCGTCTCGCCGATGGCCCGACGCTATTTGCCAGCCGGTTGACTACCATTGCCGGTATGTTTTTTTATTAATGAACCGACACAAGACAGTGCTAATTTTATTAAATAGATTAGAAGAAAAATTGTATAACGTATACGAAATATTTATATAAAGGAAAAAAGCGTGAGTACTAAAAGACTACTCCAGGCTACAAAGGCCCTTTGCTCTAGCCAAGGTCTAAGTTTCCGCCTCCTCTTTGATCTTGGTAACCAAATTTGTTGCCGATAGCTCTTTGTGTCTGAACACCAGTTGATTTCGTTATTTTCATATTTCCTAAGAAATCAAGAGGATAAGGCTAAACAAGCCATTTTTTTCACCCCTTGAGTGAAAGCCAAGTTCGACCATCACTCGTGGACTGTCATATGGTTACTCTAATTTGTTGGTTTGATTTGATCGCATGCCGTCCAGGAAGAAATCAAACTATCGTTCGTATCTTTCGGCTAGCTCTCCATTTTTCTCATCATGGATGTTCCAATCGAGAGATAGGTGCACTTTTCAATGCACTGCATTAAGGAAGGTTGAGATTTGAGACAATGTGTCTTGACTTGCCGTGTCACCACCAAGCAAAAAATACTTTCGTACAGTCACCACCAGTGTGATTAGTTCACGAAAAGAAAATTTCTAGATGTCACATTGGATACTTGACCAGATATCGTAAGGGGCTTTCAGACACGAATGAAAAAACTAATTTAATAATTCGCCTAGAAACCGCAAGACAAATATTTTGAGCATAATTAAGCCGTCATTAAAGCATGTGGGTTACTATAATACTTATAGCTAATAATTGACTAATTAGGCTCAAAAGATTTGTCTCGCGATTTCTGTGTAAATTGTGCAATTAGTTTTTTATCTATATTTAATGCTCCATTCATATGTCCAAAGATTCGATGTGACGTTTTTGGAAAAAAAATAGGAACTAAGGCCTGGTTTAGTTCCAATTTTTTTAAAAAAAATTGTTAAAATAGATCAATATATGATATATCTTTTCATAAACATGAGAGTTAAAATTTGACTTATACAATTCAAAATAAAAATAACAAATTTGACTGTGAATTACGCGTTCTATTCATAGTCAAATTTGTTATTTTTGTTTCTACTTGTATAAGTTGAATTTAAATTTGTATGTTTGTGAGGTAACATATCACATATTAATCTATTCTACTAATTTCTTTTTCAAATTTTTTGATGATTTTTTAAATGACATGAAAAATGAGGAGATATTCCCTTAAGGGATGACTTGATTTTTACTACTGGTGCTAATTACACGAACTACTCCCACATTTTTTTTTTGCGGGACGAACTACTCCTACATGAAGAGAGATAAAGAGCTAGCTATAGATTGGCTGGAAAAAAAAGGCACGTAGCCACTAGCCACACTGCCAAATGCTATATCTTCTACAAACTTGATCAATATTGATGATGTTTGAATTAGAAATAAGTTAAAACGTATTATAATATAATACAGAGAATACTTTTTATTAATTATGGTTTTACTAAGTCGATCTGTTAAGATAAAAAAAATGATGCTTAAATCAATCTTCTTCATTTTTTCCTTAAAATATTATGCTGAAGTGATTAGATATTTAAATAGTGTTAGAGCATGTAATCGGTTCTTTTTCCGACCCTACATGTACAAAATATTTTAGATTGATATTTTGATGAATCATCGAAACGCAGAAAAAAAAATGATTTATTCATTTATCTCTGCAAACGCAGAACTAAATCCTAATAAGATGTACTTTCAAATCTAGATTGTTTTTAAAGAAATTTTATGGAAATCAAACTAATTTATATAGAACAACTATTTTCTTCTTTTTTTTTTAAAAGTGTACAACTGTACCCTATGCACAGGATTTAAGATATCAAGTGCACAGGATTTAAGATATCAAGCGCGTCAACTGACGCGTCTATTTTGTTTTTAAAAGATCGCAGGGAGCACGAGGTAAAATAAAAATGACTAGTATCAGCATTAAGCTTTTGGCAGGAACTTCCACTGAATCAAATGAACAACACAGTTTTTTCATAGCACGGAAATGGATATTTAGCCTTTTCACTCACTCTTACATGAGACACAACACCTGACATCTGCATACTCGAATCCATCTAACTGAAACACACACACACCAAGTGATATAGCTAACAATCCTTCTCCAGCAAACTCGATCCTCGATCAGGCTGTGCTAACCGTGTGCGGTTCGACGATGGCCGTGCCATTCTGAAACGTAGAATTGTCCGCCGTGCCGCCAGAGTCGCCACCGGCAGTACTGCCAGTGGCAGTCGACCAGGTGAACTTGTCATCGATCCCCGCGTGGTACAGCAGCGCCCAGAGGTGCGTGATGAACTCGCCGCCGTCGCCGAGCCCCTTCTCGTGGGCGCTGACGCTCCCGGACGGCGCGAGCGATATCAGCAGCTCCGACCAGAACTCCGCCAGCTCCGTCCAATCCACACGGCCGCGGGCCTTGAGCTTGTCCGCGAGTGCCTTGCCTTTCCTCATCATCATATTATCGTCCCCGCTACCGCTGCCGCTGCCCCTGGCGGCGGCTGCTTCTTGGACCAACGTCTTGCAGGTGTACCTCACCGAGTTGTTGCCGACCGATCCCAGCAGCTTCGGCTTGTAGAACAACAGGTAGGCGCAGTACTTGGACAGCCGGGTGGCCACCTCGTAGCTCTTGCGCTGACTCTCATCCACCAGCTTCTGAAGGTGGCACGTCGCGACGTGCCACACGACGATGGTCTCGATCGCCGTCGGGTGCCGACCGTATCGCTGCAGCATGCTTGCTGTCCTGGGCAGAGGTTTACCTTGAGTCAACTCCGTCTTGTTCGCCATGAGCGTCTGACATATTGCCTTCTTCACCTCGTCTGGAACTCGGATAGTCTTACCTTTCATGATGCGGTACTCGCCGTCGTTGTTGAGCAGGACGAACGATCTCGCGGCGTGGTACACCTTGATGACGCACGTCGGGATGCACCCTCTCTTTGCCCCGTAGACAAGGTTGAACTGTCCCAAGGAGTTGCCGATTGGCTCGGCGATATTGCCGCAGCACACCAACCATATAATACGGTCGAGGAGATAGCATCGCCCATACCGATTCCGGACGTATTCAGAGATAACCATAACCTGTAAACGTAGAGTTCAGGGGAAATTATTAGTTGGGAACTTGGGATCTGGGAAACGCTAATGAAAATGCACGAGAAAATTGTTCTCAAGTGATAGTGCTTTCTCTGCTTACAAGTTACAAACAACTACTCCCTCCGTTTCTAAAAATATATGACGTCGTTGACTTTTTTTTAAATATGTTTAACCATTCATCTTATTAAAAATATTTTAGTAATTATTATTTCTTTTCCTATCATTTGATTCATTGTTAAATATACTTATACGTATACATATAGTTTTACATATTTTACAAAAGTTTTTGAATAAGACGAACGGTTAAACATATGTTAAAAAGTTAATGGTGTCAAATATTTAGAAATGGATGGACTATTAGGCTTTTTAAGTTGCTCCATACTGTAAGAACATACGTTAAAGTACATGAGTATTTTCCAATTTCAATACACCTTTTAAGGAAAAATAAGAACAAAATGTTCTACACCTTAAAACAGACCTCTGCTCTATCAATATATATGAGACAAAGCTTTTGCCCTCTTTTTTTTAAAAATAAATTCTATACCTCATCATTGTGATAGACTGAGATGGCTTCATCTTTAAGATCTCTTATCAAAAAGCCATATTGATTTTCCATATCCATATAGCATCGAACCTTAAGGTTTCAGAACTCTCCTTTTTTCTAGTCTTCAAAAATGGAAACTTCTCTACAATTTGTTTAAAATGCACCAAACAAATTCCCTTGAGGATGTTTTAGTACCCAATTTCTAAGAGAAGGGATAGTACCTACTGAAAATCACTTCAACAAATTCGTTCAAAATTTAAGAAAAAATGTAAGGTTTTGAACTCAAAAGATTTTCCAAGAGATATGCTTATTTGGAGGCATACTATAAATTGCGATTGATTAATCTAACATCTCACGTTTTTCTTATAAGCTCTTGGTCAATCAACTCAAACTGAAACAGTATTATACACTTGCCTTGCTACTTTATGATCGATTGATCAGGGGCGCGTATCCTCACTAATAATTTAATGATGATAATTAATTACTACTTTTTAGTATTGCCCACGTGACAGCTTGTAAAGAGTATTTCCAGTTTAAAAAAACACCGCTCACAACAGTCACTACTGAAGTCAAGATGCGGACGATTTATAATGCAGATAGCCAACCAAACAAAGCCGTTGTCTTGTTATTTTATATAAAATGAATCTTTTGGCCACAGATAGACAAACTTTGTCCATATGAAATGATATTAAATCATCTGAATATTTATATTGCAATTATAGCAAATCCATTTCCGAAAATCCTTGGAAGCTACAGTAGCTAGGAATTGCTCCTCTGTCCCATATAATTCGTCTTTCCCTCACCCATTTATCCCACAAATATACTTCATTTTTAAAGCGATTAATGTGTTGGGACTTAATAAAGTTGAGAACATTGTAATTTAGTAAAGTTGGGGACAAATGTATTAGGATTTAATAATAAAGGATATTTTATTCTTTTTAAACTTTATATTTATACATGTAAGATGGATTAGGAATAAAGTTTTTTTAGGAGAGTTAGTAGCAAGTTACCTTGGTCCAGTTCGAGGAGAGATGCATGGAGAACTCGCAGATGTCCATGGCCGTAACCATGCTCACGATACCAAATGTGATGGACAGATCCACATTCTTGCCATGGACCAAATTGGGCGAGCTCCCGCGAGGAACCCGGTAATGCAGGATCGCCGACACTATGATCCATATAGACACGCCGAGCGTCGCCGCGAACAGCACGACGCTGACCACCGGGAAGCCGCAGCTGAACAAGTGTCACGCCCCGAACTAGTCCCGACCGGAACTAGCCCGTGACGCTCCAAATTAACCTGTTAATCGATACCAGTCCCAGGAAACAGTGCTGGTATCACAGGGAGACAGAGTATCACAACAACAGAGGTCTCTTTATTATAGAGTAGAAGTACAGTCATGTTGGGCTGCGGACAGATCCCGAGCTCACAACTGCATTACAAAAGGAAAGCGGAAGCCAGGACTTGGACCAATCAATCACAGGCGCGACTTGGGAACTAGGCCGAAACCCTAAAACTCATCGTAGCCGGCTTGCTCCTGAAAGAACTCCTCATCAGCAGGATCCGCTTCATCTTCTTCAGCAACTGAGGGGGGGGGGGGAAATATTTATATAGAGCAAGGGTGAGTACGGGAGTACTCAGCAAGCCAGGGGAAATAAGTGTTTAATGCAGGCTTCAAGGAAAGGCTGTTGTTTTTGCAATTGATTTTATTTGAACTCTTTTCTAAAAGCAACTAAGTGAGTGCTTCTCAAACGACACGGATGAGACAGTGCGTCCCGTCCGGTCGGAGTATGTGCAATGTATCAGTCTTTAGATTTTGAAACAAGGTTGGCACCCGGCCAATAGCTTTTTAAACGGCCACCCTGGGCCAACCACTTTTTAAACGGCCACCCGGGCCAACAACTTTTCAAACGGCCACCCGGGCCTAGCTGATCCCATCAGCTACAGATTTTTCAAACATCGAACCCATTTTCACAACGACAATTTCACAAGCAGTAGTCAAACAAAACTACGCTAGGAATCACCTCACATCTGCCCGTGACCGTGGGCACGACTGTTCGAACAGTTTAATGACCTCTGCAGAGGGGGTACACTTTACCCACACGACATTACTAACCCGGGTCACCCAGCCCGTGGGGATCAGCCACGTCGGGAGACCTCCAAGCTTTCATGACAAGGCATTTCGAAAGCCGATACAGGTTTACCATATGCCGACGAGAGGGGTCCCAGACCAACAACAGGTTAGGTCCCAGACCATACTGTGCCAGGAAGCCCAGGGGTCCTCCCCGACACCACCCCGGCGAATCCACATGTCTCTCGGCATCAAGGCTCCCCTGATAAGCTAGTTACTCAGCCAGGGGTGTCCCATTCCACCCATGTGGTCGTACTTGTCTTATGTTTGGATGAAATTCCAAGGAATCGGTCCTTAAGTGCGAGAGCGGGAAACCGTACACCCGGTACGTTCCCCGGTCCGCGGTTTTGGAAATTCATTTAGTTCGCAAGCACCGACCCAAGTGTCGGGTTTTCCAAGTCTTTTGTAAAACTCCAGTTTTACCCAAGTTGTTACTCAGATTTTAAGTTTGAAGGCGACCGTCGATACTCGCACAGAGTGCGCGAGTATCGAGGCGCAACTGGGTGGTTACAAGGGGACATGGTATAGCAATTAACAATGGAAGGATCAAATGCGACAAATTAAGTAACTCCGCCAATCTGCTTCGCAGATGGGACAACAGATTAAGTGTGATCCTATCAATGCATAATATTTTGCAAGCAACATAATTAAATTTCAAATATAGGCTCAAGATGTTCAAAGGTGGCTTGCCTTGCTCGAGATCTGGAGCTTGATCCTCGAAATTCTCGCACTGTGGGTCTTCGGGCTCCGAAACTACACGCGAAACGGGGCAACTCAACAAACAGCGAAAATAAAGCCCTATTAACGACCTCTAAGCGTGCCATTAGATAGATCTCGAGATTTGATGAATTTTGGAAGTTGAACGGAGTCAAACGGATTTACGGTTGGGAAGATATTGAATTTCTAAGATTATTGGATTTTTGGTCTAACGGAAAAAGGATTAAATTAAATCCTTTTTTTTTTTGGAAAAGAGAAAGAAAAGGAAGGAGGGAGGAAATTTAGAGTTTCCTCGGGCGGCTAGGGTGCGGCCCAAGGGATCTGGGGCGGCTCGGCCGAGCTTAATGGGCTGGCCGGCCCAAAACGGCCCAAGCGCGCGCACGCGGGGGAGGGGAGAGAGAGTCCGGTGGACCGGGCTCACCACGCGCGGTCCCGGGTGGGACCCGCTTGTCAGCGGCTCGGCTCGCCGTGCGGAGGGAGCACGCGGCGCACGCGCGCGGGCGGGGAGGAACGCGGTGCACGCGCGCGGTTTGCGGTGGACGCGGATGCGACGGGCCCACGCGCAGCCTCACGGCTCGCGGTGGAACGCGCGCACGGGGAGGGACCGACCGGGGTCGGCTCGACCCGGTCTAGGCTGAGCTGGCGCCGACGTGGCGCCTACGTGGCTGCCACGCAGGCCGGCGGAAGGTAGACGACGACCCGGCCGCGAATGGACGGCGGGCGGCGGCGGCGAGCGGCGGAGCGAACCACGGTGATACGGGCAAAAGCGAGCACACCGGGCGGTTGTTCGCGACAGGGGGAGGCGAGCCAACGGCTCGGATTCGCCGGAGGTTGCTCGACGGCGGCGGATTGCGGCGGCGGCAACCGGCGGCGGGAGAAGAGGGAAACGGCGACGAGGCTACGAGGGGTCGATTCCCGTCAGTGAGAGCATCTACGCGGCTTCGGGAACTCGACGCTAGCGTCGGATTGGGCGGAACTACGCCGAGCGAGGCCGGCGACGAGCGGGTGCTACGGAGCTCGGGCGGCGACGGCGGCGAGCACACGGCGAGCGAAGGCGACGGTTGGGGCGGCGCCGGCTAGCTACGGGGGGTCTACTCGAGCTACTACCGAAAGCTAGGGGGAGGAGACGGAGCGAGGAGGGAGAACGGAGAGAGACAGCACCGAGAAGAGGAGGGGCGCTGTGACGAGAGGCCGACGGCGCGGGAGTAATCTCTCCGGCCTCGGGCCGGGGAAGGGGAAGGAGAGGGCGCGGCCGAAGTCCCCTTCCGCGTCCTCGAATGCACCGGCTCTCCCGGCGCTCGGCGAAGGACGGCGGAGGCGAGACAGAGCACGGGGCGGCGGCAACAGCGCGGAGACGAATGGAAGAGGAGGGGTAAGGGGAGGCCGGGGGTTTAAAGGGGACGGCAATGTCGGTTTGAGGACCGACTTGCGCGGTCAAGGCGCGAGCTGGCGCTCCGGCTAGCGGCCAAATTGGCGACAGGGAGGATGACGCCGGCGGGAGGAAAAGGGAAAAAGGAGGGGGAGAAAGGGGGCTTGCCCCTTTGCCGGATCGGGAAAAGGAGGAGGGAGCGGGGGCGACGCGCCAGGGGGAAAGGAGGGCTCGGCCT